AGAATATATCATCTTTTACATAAAAGGTAGAACATTTCAAAACATCATGTCTACTGGTCAGCTAATAAAGTAAATATACTTTCACAAGGGAAGGTTCAAAGGGTAATAACTGCCTATCCTATACAGGTTTCAATCGTTGAACTATATCACCAAGTCTTTATGTCTTCTGTGTCTATATATCTCTCAACTTTCATCCGTTTAGGGGATTATTGAAAAAATAAAAAATAAAATTGGAGGGCTGAATTTGACATAAATTTTCAAGGGACCTGTTTTGTTTATCTTGGAAGATCAAGTTTAATTTGTATTCTCCTCCGTGAGAATATCGAAATCATATATTTACTTGCCAAAAATGATGATAAGGTAAATGAGAAATTGAAGCTCAAAGTGAAGATATTTTGTATTGAAGGGAAAAACTAGTACAAAGTTATCCCACATAGGGAAATATATAAAAGCAATGATCATTTTAAATATGATTACACTTTAGAATGATATAATCATGTGTAGCATAGAAGCTCTCTTTGCGTGCTCGCGCAGAGAGGTTCAATTCACGAACCGAAATAGGCTTTAAACCGTGAACTTGTGTGTGTACACGAATGTCAGGCAGATTGGACCAAAAAATGGCCCTTAAGAGGGTTCACATTTTGCTTTTAATTTATTTTTTTTCCAAATAAAATCTTTCCAAATTCTTTTAATTCTTGAAACTCATGTGATTATGTATATGTTGATGAAAAGATTTAACAACTGGGTTAATTGTGGTTAATGGCATAACTCGGGCTGTTAATTCTTCATTACATCTTATTTATTTAGTCATCTTCATCCCTTACAGACACACGAAAATTTCTCTTCTCCGCATAAAATTTTATCTCCTGTCTGCATACATAATTTTTACTTTCTGTTAGAGATCTTGGTGGTGATAGTATTTAGATACTAAGTTCGTCAGAGTAGCATTTGCACCTAAGGTGAGGGGACAAATCCTTTTTAAGAAAATTGTGTGCACACAGGTCTCGATTTGAATGCTCATTCGCTCTATTGTTATTCCTGCAATTTTAGATTATTTGATTTGTTTTTAATGTAATTAATAAAATTATTTTAATCTGCAATATTTTGGCTAACAATTAATTCCCTATAATTTATTTCATCTTGACTTCTCGTATCCATCAGACGCTGAATAACTGGATTGGGATGAAATGATCTTTTAGCTCTTCTAATTATTTTTTCACGTTCGGTTCACATTTTTTTAAATAGTTTCTTCGTGATATCTTTACGAAATTAATGATTTGAACATCCCCAAAATATTTAGCACGGATTCAAACTAGTCACTAAAAAAAATACTCCATCCGTCCCAATTATATAGGCTTGTTTCGTTTTTCACTTGGATTAAAAAAGCTTCTTTAATGTCNTGCCAAGATCTTTCCTAGTTTATCCTTATTTAATTCTCAGTATGTAAAACTAAATTATTGTTGGAAGTAATAAAGAATTTGAAGAAGAAGAAGACATGAGAGTTGTTCAATGTTTCCAAGAAGTGTGAAATGTGTGTATTTGGATGATTTGAAGAAATTGACATATTAAGTGAGAAAAATTTAATAAAGGTATATTGGTAAAGGAACACAACAAAATATTCTACATTAGGAAACATGCATATATATTTGGGATAAGAGAAAAGAGAAACCCAGCCTATATAATTGGGACGGAGGGAGTACTAAATTGGACTCATTAACAACTATTTAATAAGATGACGAATTCCGAATGCAAAAAAATTAGCATAGAGAATAGATGGATACGATGTGCTCATCGAAACAAGAGTAATTTTAAATGTCTCTGAAATCAATAGAGATCCCAATTATTGGGAAAATGCTGAGTTTTTTAAACCAGAGATTTTCCGATATTGGTATTGAATTCATAGGAGCAATATTTATTCCTTTCGGTGGATGAAGGAGGACATTCCTAGGTATATCGTTTGGTTTAATCAGTGTTGAGTTTCTTCTTGCTCAACTACTCTACCACTTCGCCTGAAAATCTAGATAGGACTGAGATACTTGGAAGCACTACTCAAAGGATATCCAAATTGTATTTGGTTCCTACTCCCCTTGTTTAATCAATGTTACTGGCTAGAAATTCCATTTACCTTGTCTGAACCCTTACTCGTTGTATTAAGTTTTGTTCTATCCTTTGCCTCTATTTTACCATAAGAAATGCAATCATATATGGGATACTGAATTAAACATATATGCAAGCATTTAAGTACAAAAACATCATTTAAATTTCAACAGTAAAAACACTGGAGACGAAGGATTAAAACCCAGATCTTGGTGTCTAATTTCTAATCTTTGTCTGAATATGAAGCATGCAACATTGTATAAAAGTGGACTAAAAATAGAAACTCAGTTCCATATTCATCCAATCTCATTGAATAAGAATTTATTCCGAAAAAATTGACAAAGATATGCTCGAAATAGTATTTTAAGCTACGAGGAAAATCCTGCGAGAGATTTAAGTTGAAAATTCATTAATGGAATACATTCGTAAACTAATAAAAACTTCAACAACTACAAATACAAATTTTAAATAAATTTGACGAGCAAAAAATGTTGTGTGAATTTACCTGAAACTCAAATGTTAAAGCAGCAAGGCAGATTTTATGAAGAATTAAATAGGGACAGCCATTTTAAAGGAAGAATTTAAACAGTGGTGTCGAGTTTACATATCGACCGCCAGTTATATCCCTGATACGATGTCGTATTTGGAGCCCTTCCAAAATCACTATCCCGCCTCTTACGAGTCATTTTCGTCATTACATGAGAAAAAAATTTGAATTCGGACATCCTTACGTTAATATCAAACAAATGCCGATACACTTCACTTTTTCTCTCTCAAGATAATGCAAGCAGAGTTCATAACCCTCTTACCCTTGCAATGATCCTTCTGCACTAATCTTTATCCCTCGAAATTCCAAGTTAAAAAACGATCAAAAAAATTCACGAGAAGAAGTGGCTTCAATCAAGCCTGCAACTCTCTACACTAATAGCTTAACCAGTTTCACAAAATCCGACCCCTCCTCCTCGACTGAGTTGTCGACCTCGCGTGCCATCACAAAGAAAACCACCACCACCACCAACCAGATTAATCTCAGTTCCATGGTCAAAAAATTGGTCGACAACAAGAAGGCCAAGAATTTTAATAAGGATGCGAAATTCATTGCGGCCACGAATTTTTTAGCTGAGGATTTGAAGAAGAATGCGAAGAAGGGTACAGATCTAAGTGGGCTGCACACGAAGTTGTTTTAAGGGATCATTGGGGTCAGCAGGAGAGGCAAAAAGAGGAGAGGAAAGCTCGAAGAAGGCATAGACTGATGTCAAAGGGAATACGAGGACTTTGGCTATGGTTTTGAGGAGTGAGAGGGAGCTTTTGAGTTTGAGTAAGGAGCACGGGGATCAGATTGCTGAACTCGAGTTGTTGCTTGAGGATAAAAACAGAGGTAAATTTTTTTTATCGTGAGTTGGAAGAATTTTATTAGTTAGCATATAATTTTTTCGACTAGATTTTTTGTGCATTTTAAGGTTGAACTAGTTGTGTTTGGATAGAATGAAGAATTAATTCAGGCTATCAGAGTGATTTTATAACTTGCAATTTGTAAACAGATCAAAAGTTTAGGTATCATTTGTGGCAAATTTACAGAAAATTTGAAATTTGAATGCCTGTCAAAATTCCCATTCCTTAGCGAACGAAGTTCAGAATCAACAAGGGTTCATAGAACGAAAGGAGTGCACATTTTGAACGGCTTTTCAGCATTCAAAAATGATTTCGTGTTTGTGTTAGCATTGAGAAAAGTATTGAATGTGATGAATATTGCCACCATTTGATTTTGAAAGTACGTAGTTCGACTCTAAAAACATCTGAGGGTTAATAGGTAATTATGCGGAATTAAAAATTATTTAACAATTAAATAGCAACAAGTCANCATGCAATTCAGTTATTCCTATATTGAAATACGGTAGTTAAATAAGCAATAAACGAAAAAAAGAATTGATCACGAAGAAATCCAATTGGGTAAAAACTCCGGGCACTTTGTCAGTCAACAATCCACTATAAACGATTTATAACTTACAGTCTACCAGACTAGACACGACACGTACTATCTAATTTCCTGACTATAAATCCAACAGCTCTCTAGGATTCTGTGCTCCTGCACCAACTCCCAATTTTGTGAAATTGTCTATCTCCTGTGGATGCACGAAGAACCCTGCATTCTTCAACGACTGGAACTTCAGTCATCTTCCCTTGATCTTCAAAAACTCTGACAGATATAAAGGAAGTAGCAGTTTGGTATTTGGATTATGAATCTGATGTTTTTCTCATCAAAAGTCAATAACATGACAAAAGTTGAAAGCACGATATTTGAAGATGATCTCAATGAAATGCGTTTCTCTCAATAATTAACCTTGTAAAATCGTTATGTAATGTTTAGATATTTATATATAGGTTAGGGAATGAATGTGTCGGACAAAAAGCCTTTAAAAAACGAAATAAAAATTTCCTTAATGACACCGTCGCTCGAACAAAGGGTCAGCAACAGTCGAGCGATGAAGTTTCTGTTTCTGACGCTCGAACCAAACCTTGGCAAAAAGCTAGCGAAATTCCGGCGTCGTTTTTCATTCTTTTCCATTCTCGAACCCTAGAACTAAAATATCACAACTTTAATTAATTGCATATTACTCCTTGACTTTTTATAACATATCAACTTTAGTCCTTTTTGTTCACAGATTTGCCAATTACATTAAATACCTAACAGATTTTCTGATGATACTCAAAAAGGGCGTTTTATCTATGGTGTCTTCTTCTCTATTACGTGGATTGATCAAAATATATGCATTTCTGATGATTCAATTATTAGATTTAGTTGATGATTATAGAATTTTTAGGTCGAGAAGCTGAAAGATTTGTGCTTGAGGCAAAGGGAAGAGATAAAATATCTTTAAAATGCTGTACTATTCCCGGATGTTATGAATTCGCAACTTCAGCAGCTTTTGCAGGAGGAAGGTTCAGAACTGAATCAGGCAAAACATCTTATTCCAAGTCTTCAGAAGCAGGTCACTTCCCTTACAAACCAACTACAATATCTTGCAGAGGTAGTATTCATATTGTTGTGCACCAAAGAAAATTTAAATTAAAAATATTGAATTCACACGTAGTTCATTGGATTTAGGATCGAGTTTAATTCTGAGTTGTTGACGTTTTTTTTCCCCTTTTCCTTTTTGCCACAGGTGAAGGGAGACAAATATTCAGCTAAAGGAAGCTCTGATAATCACTTCAGCTTTCCAAGGATTCCATCATATGATCAAGAAGAGGCAGCTAATTCTTGGGTAAAATCATTATATCAAACTGGAAAATCTGAATTGGGAATTGATGATTAAGTTTTTATAAAATAAACTACTTGTATCATAACCCCTTACAATTGTATAGTCTACAATATCTGTACTGTGAGTTCCTATCCATATATAGTTGAGTGAAACCTTCTTAGGGGGTTTGTCTGGATTTTTTGCGCCATCTTTATAGAGCTGTTTATTTGATCAAAGCAGCAAGTTATCTTTTTTTCCTTTTAGGATCATAGTTCAGTGTCAATTCTAGGAAATGTTGTATTCTTTTCATTGATTTTAAGGTTGTCTTGTATTTTTCTCCTTTTAACAGTTTGATCAGGTGTTCAGTTCTGGGGATTACACAGGCCCAGAGAGCCCAGATGACAAGTTTCTCGAAGATTTGAATCCATGCCTAACACCAAACTGCAAGACAGTCTAAGGTACTTGTATCTGCTACCTTAATCGCTATTTAATGCATGTTTGGCAAAGCTTAAATTTTTTTGAGCATATATTGTAGGACCTACAACTTTCACAACATAGACATCCTTCGAGAGTGAACCAATTCAAAGTACCTCACAACTTACAAGAGTGTATTCCTATTATGACTTTGAGGTTTATGATTAAATAAAATGGCTTTTCTGAGGATTATGAAGATTTTAAGACTAGGGATTATCGGATGCTCTCTCTTTGGAATTTCTTCAGAGGTAATGTATTTGGGCATATTATTTTCTGCCATTATTTTATATGAATACCATTATCGCATCATGCCAATTCTTGCTAGAAAGTACTGCAACCTCCGTTCTCCAACATAACGCCATATTTAGGAAGTCTTGCGCCATGACCTTTGACCTCCGTCATTTTGAGATCATATCTAGTATTCCGAATTTACCTCAATTTGGTCCAAACTTCAACCTTACTCATTATGTCATATATATGATTATAACCAAGTCAGGAAATACTGCATTTTATACGAACTGGAGAAATTATTTTAACATTTAGTCAACCTCAGCCAAACATACACAGTATCCTGGGGAAAAAAACCATTCAAAGGAGTATTTAAAGTTTTATACAACCTTAAAAAGAATCAAAACTTTGAGGAATAGATGTAAGAATACTATTTCAACCATTTCAAATCTCAGAGAACAATTTAATCAACGTTAGCGTTGTCATTTACACATCCCATTTACTCACTCACAAACGTAAACCTTACGAGGGAAGAAATAAAAAATTAAAATAATGATATCAGAATATTTCTAAAAGTTTGGACGACCCTTAAAAATGAGGTAAACATCCAAAAAAGGAAAAACACCAAGCATACAAAATACATCTGGTCATAACCACAGGATTGGTGGACAATAATATATTTATACACAAACTGCCTAAACAAGTAAACCAATCTCTCTACCAAAATTGGATTTCTCAAGAATTTTTTGATTAAGAGACGATCCAAATGCAACTAGGATTGAATTGCAGACACGAGGATCATATCACGGGTCACCAGATTATTATTGGAAGAAGCCAAATGCCAAAAACATTACATCTCTCACCAGTTTGCCAACTGTGAGGAAATGCTTTTTACAACTGGGTGGTATACTGTATGCAAATGTCTCTTCGCTTTCTCTGAACCTGGTTGCTCAAGCCACTCATTGTATAGGCTTTTGATAAGCGGATTTTCATAAGGATCGGCTACAAGTACCTAAATATTAGAGCATGGTAAGCAATAAAACATTCATAAAGTTTAATCCACAAAATTATCAGACATCATCGAGGATAAACACACTGCCCCAACAAATTGTGATGATAAAAAAGAAGTGTCAAAACATGACAAATATTGATCCACATTATGTTTCAATAAGAATTATCTGCAAAATCAGCAAAAACCAACACGAAGAAAGACACTCCCAAACTTGTATATGCAAATTGTGATGATAAAAAGAAAATTGATAAAACAAGACAGAAAAATATTGGTCCAACTCTTATATAATGCTGATTTTATTCTTTATTTTTCCCATATCATGCATCTCACATTATGATTTGCGCTTCTCTCTACACATCACACTACATACAACAAGTCAAGGTTCCAAAAACTGGGCCATTATTAAACAAAATCACCTAAAGTGAAGAAGGCCATAGCAAAAAACTAAACCGACTTACATTTTCTGAATATGTGTTTTCCAATAACTGAATCAAATCTTTTGCAGATTGCCCAGGCTTGGGCTTGATTTGACCTCCACCATTCAAACATCCTGTTGCTCAGAGAAGGCACACATAAATACATTAGCTGTGCATGATATTTAAAACAGGCAATACTTTAAATCAATGACCATCAGTCTCCGTGGACATGACCCAATAAACCAATAATACCTGAAGGACATGCCATAATCTCCAAGAAATGATAGTCGCACTTTCCAGTTTTAATTTTTGTAACAATGTTTCTCAGGTTTCTGAATCCATAACACTGTGCGAATTTCAAGACAGTTTTACCCTTGACCTGCATTTAGATTATCGGAGAAAAATTATTTCGCAACAAAAAATTAACATTTATACACGAATTATTCTTTCAAATGAGCTGTTCATTAAATGACTTATATAGTGAAAAAAGGCGGGTAGTCACGTGAAGTCAAGAGTAGACAACAACTTTGTGAGTGATGAGGAGGCAACAAGAATAATCAAAGTGGATCGTCGCAAGAAGAAAAACAGAGCTACAGCAAGAGGAAAGAGGAATTATTAGTGTGTGTTTGATTGGAGAATTTTCTACGGAAATGGTCTTTTTCCACTCAAATTCCAACTTTTAGAGTGTTTGATAGCCATTTTTTCCATGGAAAATATTTTTCAACTTTTGAAAATATGCCAAATTTTCCTTGTTTTTGAAGAAAACAATTTCGTTGGAGGGATTTTGTTTTCTTTAAAACATTGAAAACTTTTTTAGGAGACATTTTCCATGCCAATCAAACACGCCCTTAGTTCATAAATAAGGTGAAGAAGATCGAAGGTTGCATTGAATTACCATGGGTCAAGATACCTACTTTCAAAACTAGACTTGAACCTTCCTAAAATGTCTTATCAACAATGCCAACACAAGGATGAACGAAACTTACTTCAAGAGTAACTTCCTGAAAATCTGAGTTTCTTATAGTCTTAAACTGAAGAGGACCTTCAATTTCTTTCCCAAAAAGTATTTTTGCAGCATGGCAGAATACAGTGTCTGCATACCCCCCAGAGCTCCCACGAACACCATAGAGGCGGCCTTCTTCATCTACATTTGACAATCTGCAGAAAGTAAAATCATTTTTCTAGTCACTTATTATCCAATGTAGTTAATAAGTATACTAGAAACACTACATATTCTTACAATTTATCCACTGGAGATTCATCCAAAGTTGTAAAATCAACAGATTTAGACTGCAACAATTAAAACCAGAAAATTTAAGAGACTACAATACAAATGAAAAATAATAGGCGTGCAGATTAACATCACAGAATGTTTACCCGAATCAAATCTAAAACCTCTCCAGTTGTCAACACAGAATCCACCTCTGCAATTCTTTCACTTTCAGAATCTACTTGGAACATAAAGTCATCCCGAGCAGCCTCAAGCTTTTTGTCATAACAAGGCATCACAGTCACATGATATATCTCCTCTGCTCTGTCCAGAAATAAAATTTATCTACATCGTCAAAATTTAATACTGTTCCGACCAAGCAGGTATGCGAGGGTCAAAAGCTAGTTACCCATGGTTCACTATACATGAAATAAATCACATTACTTTACAAGATTGACCAATGCCTCACCGAGTCACCCTTAAATATACTACAAATAAATTAACCATATATATTTCTAGTTACTTATTTTAAGCTCTCTCACTGCTGCTGTTCTTAGTATTTAAGTATGCTATAATACTATTGGACCCCAACATCAAGATAGAAGTCTGCAATTGCGAAGAATATGCTTGAAATCATAACAAAATGTTCAGCACATTAAAAATGATGGTGCAGATGATAGATCACCTTAGACATAATTTTTGGCATATGTGGTTCTTAATGGCAGCTCCAATAATTTGTTGGGGGCTTTTGACTGAAGAAATATATGGAAGTATGTAGGATCCAAGAGTTTTTTCTGCATAGCATATCCAACCTGCAAATTCAGAATTCATCATAAAAAATCTGGATACATATCATAAAGCTCTTCACACTTCAGGAGGCAAAAGAACAGGCCTCTATCTAGTCTAGATACAATAATTCGTGTCATTATCTAAACTGTCACAAAAACGGAGATGGTATACCTGGACATGCTGACGAAATCATGGGAAGGGCCGATTTGGATATCTCATCATTAGGTATATTGTGTTGTTCATAACGTGTTATGAATTCATTACAAGATTCAATAAGTGTTAAATCTCTACTGCTGCTGGTATCAAATACGGCTTTCACTCCTAAAGATTTAAAGAAGGTTGTGAGCTTTATCAAGACCTGAAAATTATTGAAGATTAGGTAATGTTAGGAAATTCAAGTACACATAGTAGGAAAACCATCATTCCATGTATTGTACATGGTGAAAAGGAATATTAAATTGTCAAAACCACATGGTCTTTATGTAACTTCTTACTTGGAGGGAAGAAAGACCAAAATGAACAGCAAGAGAAGCTCTAGACTGGGGAGAGAGAGAGACAATAACAGCTTTTCCTTTACTAAGGTTAGAAAGAAACTCCTCTAAGCTTTGCTTCTCAAGCATGATAGTCTCTGCCGATGTTATGCACCCACTGCATGATAATCATCATCAGTATTAATTTCTCAACTACAACGTCATATTTACTCATTTCCAAATCATGAATCAGTATGATATTCTAGACCAATTAAATAATCCTAGTGGATATGTATTCGGTTAGCATGTACAGCATCTAGCTTGAACTATATT